TTATGTACTTGACTGCTAACCAGAAGGTTGGGGGCCACCCACAGGGACTTTGGAAAAACAGACCTAATGAAAAGTCAGCCATTGGAAACTCTATTGTACACAGCTCTGCTTTGACAAACAAGGGGCTACCATGGGCCAGAATTGATCGGCATTGGTTATAGAATATGATGTGAGAGTCTAGGGGATCAACCTGTTTTTAACTTACAGGGTGTTAAAATGGTCAGAATGCTTACTGAGCCTTATGAAAAATGGTTCCGAAAGAGAGAAGCAATGATAGGCAGGGGAATCTAACATTCTAGGCAAGAGAAAATGGCTGCTTGATAGTAGGGCCAGAAACACATTGTAGACTGGATGTAGAATCAGCAGGAACCTTTGCAAAATACAGAACACGAAGGGAAGGAAAGAATCTAAGATAGCACTGGACTTTTGTATCTGACTTTGAAAGTACATACTGTTAAATGATATTGGGAATATAGGATGAAGAACAAGTTTATTTTGAATGGAAAATGATGAGTTCAGCTTTGGACATTTTAGATATGGGGTGTCAGTTGAACTAGAGATATCAAAGAATCATTTGAAAACATAGCTATGGATCTCAGAAGTTTCAGTTGGAAATCCAGATCTATATTCCAAAGCCCAGAATGGTCAAATAATTTGTCCAAGGTGTTTCAGCTAATAAGTAGCAAAGCTTGGTGGTATCAGAATTCCAAAGCATGGGGAAAGTACCATATAAAACTTAAGCATATCAGGCCAAGGTCCAAGGTGGTGGCCTAGGCAGATATGCTACCCTGACTGACCCTCTACAGCAAATACCCAAGAAACTAATCGCTGAAACAGATAAGGACAATACTCCTTGAACCTAGAGCTTCAAAAGAATATGGAAGTAAATCAGATACTGACAGGAAGAAACTGAGCAAAAGCAGCCAAGAGATTTACTGTGTGGCGAATTGCCCACTGACCCAGTACAGAGTGGCCAGTTTTAATTACTGTAAGCAGTGTACTGATTGGGGCAGGAGTCCCGTATCAGCTTTCTTCGCCAGCACCATACCAGTGTCCACATCAGTTCAGAGAGGTGGGACTCGCCCCCACGACCTTGTACAAGTCCAGAAGCACAGGCTCACCTGCCCATTATTTCCCTCCCCTGGAGGCCTGAGGAGCCCTGTGGCAGATCTAACTCATTCCTACCACCTCAGACATCTGGGGCTTCTGTGCAGAGTGACCATAGCCTCTTCAAGCCCACACTTGGCAGGGCACATTTCCAAAGAGCAAGCTCCACATCCAAGCTGCCTCAGCAATTGGTGACACACACCCACATCACATCTGTAGATGGCGGGTGCACACTCTTGCCACAGCCATGTTTATACTGATGCTCTGTCGCTTTTTCTTCTTTTTATCTTCTTACTCCTTTCCTCACCCTTTTTTCTTTCCTCTTCCCCCCTTTTTATTTCTTCCTCTTCCCTTTTCTTTATTCTCTTTCCCCATCAATTGAGAGCCAGCAGCCCTACACACAGCCATACCCTACCACACATGCCAAACCATCTACTAGATGCTCCATGCCAGTACCATTGGATCAACGACAATGTAGCCAAAACCCATCCAGCCTGCCTTAGATACTCTGCACAGCTAGCCATCAGAGATGCACACCCACACTCCCAACCAATACAGAACCATCTAGAGACAGGTGTTGAGCAACCCAGTAGCACCCCTGACCCACTACACAGATATATTAAAACAAAGATCAAGGTAAAGCAAACAACCATAAAAGAAATAAATACCACACCACCACAGTGTCTTGGAGACTAGAGACAACATCAAATCACACACACACAAAAGACAAGATGGCTCAAGCAAGTAACTAAAATAGAAAAGACCCCTAAAGAAAGTCACCAATATGTGTCATACTCAAACACATCAAAACCAGAGACAATCCTGAAAGCTGTTCAGGGAAACAAAAAGTTACCTACAAAGGAGAACCAATAAGATTAAGCTTCGATTTCTTTGCAGAAACCAGACAGGCAAGACAGCAATGGAATGACCAATACAAAGCCCTGAAAGAAAAAATTGTCAACCAAGAATTATATATTTAGCAAATTGCCCCTCAAATATGATGGTGAAATTAGGACATTTATAGATTAATGGGGAGTAAGGGAATGTGTGAAAAGCAGATCAACCTTACAAAAAATAAATGGTCAAAGGAGAGTTTCAGACAACAACATCAGACAGCAGTTGGAGATTGAAACATAATCACTTGACCTAGAAATCAACCTAGATACAGAAATATTCAAAATAAAATAACCCTACAAGACTGAAAATAGGGAACTGTCAATTTACAAACAATAACTACAAAGCCAAAAAGAGGGAATCAGTTATGTAGTTAAAGAATTTTCAAATGGTGAGGAAGTTAAAGCAATATAGATAGAACTGGGAGGATAGTGATAATAAATTCCAGAGTAATAAACTACAATAATAAATTACCTCAAAGACGATTAGTAAACCTCACTCAAATAAGAAAATCAAACAGATCCAATCAATATGAAAACAAGAGTAACAGAGGAAATGAGCATTCATTAATGAACCAAATTCAGCATAGAAAAATATATGGAACAAAGAAACCATCAGGACAACAACAAAAAAAACAGATACACGACAGCAATAAATGCATCCCTATCAGTAATTACACTGACTGTATATGGAATAAATATACCAGTAAAGAGACAGTATGTTGTAGAATGTAGCAGTATTAATTTCTGATAAAATAGATTTTTACGCAAAACCCAGCGTAAGAGACAAGATTATGATACATTGAGCAATGGGTCAGTTCACAGGAAGACATAACTCCAGTTTCTGTGCACTACATGAAGAGCCCTAGCGTGTAAATCAAACTCACGTAACTGAAGAGAAATCGTCTATTCCACAATAACAGTTATTGTTAAGTGCCTTTGAGTCGGTTCCAACTCATAGTAACCCAGAAATGGTTCATGATCCTACAGTGCCACAAATGCTGTCAAATTGGTTCCAACTTTTAGTGACCCTAGGCACAACAGAACAAAGCACTGCCCAGTCCTGTTCTGTCTTCTCAACAACTGTTACGCTTGAGCCCATTGTTGCTGACCCTTCACTTTACCAAGCACAATGTCCTTCTCCAGGGACTGGTCCCTCCTGATAATGTGTCAGAAGTATGTGAGATGAAGTCTCGCCACCCTGGTTTCTAAAGAGCATTCTGGCTGTACTTCCAACATAGATTTGTTTATTCTTCTGGCAGTCCGTGTACTTTCAGTATTCTTCTCCAACATCGTAACTCAAACGGTCTTCCTTATTCATATCTGAGTTGAGACCTTAAGAAACTACTTTCAAAGAAGGACAGACAACTAGAAAGAGACTCAACAAAGATACAGATGATCAAGCAATGTAACCAATCAACTTGACCTCATAAACCAATACACAGCGTTCCACCCAATACCGCCATACTGTCCATTCATTCTTTATCACTTGCTCATGGAACATTCTCAAGAATAGACCATCAAGTACACCACAGAGCAAGCCTCACTACATTTAAAAACATTGGGCTACTATATAACGTCTCAGCTCACTCATCATGCTATAAAATTACAAATCAAAAATAGGAAGATTAAGGGAAACAAGTCAAATACATAGGAACAGAGTAGCACCCCGTTTAAAAAGCTACTGGGTGATAGAAGAAATAAAACTGCCCTCAGCCCTTAACCAGAACCCAAATTTTGGTTCCCACTGGAATTGTGACAGAGAATCAGTCTTTTCCATGAACATTAATTTTCCTTCAACGGTTATTGTAAATTGTGATAATTGTTCCATCTTTTTTTCAAACTCCATAGGAAATTCTTTTATAAAGTAATATAAAGACAAAAGAAAAGTTGATAATCATCTGTGGTCCCGTAATTTTTTCCCCCCACATACAAAGAATGATAGATTTTTTGACTTTTGTAATCCCAAAGATTTTTTAAATTAAAATTATTTTATCCAAAACAAGAATTTTCTTTAAAAGATGCTAATTACTAAGATGCTTTGGTAGCATAGTGGTTACAAATCGGGCTGCGAACCTTAAGGTCAGCAGTCTGAAACTACAAGCTGTTTCGTGGGAGAAAGATGAGGCTTTCTGCTCCCATAAAGATTTACAGCCTCGGAAAAACTATACAGGGTCGCTATGAGTCAGAACCGACTCCACTGCACATAACCACCACAAATTGCTAAAGATTATTAACATTGAATGTGAGTCCTGGTGTGGTGCTACAGGTTAATGCGCTGGATTGTTGCAAAGTCAGTTTGAACGCAAGGTTGGTGGTTCTCGTTCACCAGCCACTCCTAGGGTTGTTATGGGTCAGGACCGACTTGATGGTACTTAACAACAACAATTAGCATTTAAAAAGCATGACTTATTCTTTACGGAAGTTGAGGATCCATTTTAATGTTGAGAGCAGTATACATAAGTTATTGTGCGCTTCCAAAATTACATATTTAGTACACATAAAAAACATAAAAGCATATTTTATTTGAAATATGAAATACTAAGTTAGCTTTTGGTTTGTTGCTGTAGAAATAAGTATGGTGGTGCTGGTTATGTGCCATCGAGTTGCCAACTCATAGTGATCCTGTATATGGTTTCCGAGGCTGTAAATCTTTACAGGAGAGGAAAGCCTTGTCTTTCTCAGGAGGAGCGGCTGGTAGATTTGAGCTGGTGACCTTGAGGTCTGCAGCCTGACTCCAACACCCACTGCACTACCAGGCCTTCTTAGAAAAAGTGTGGTATGGTATATATTAAATTTACTGATTTATAGAGCTTCATCAAGTGAGGATAGATTGTGTCGAAAAAAGACATAATGTTATTGGTTGATTGATAATTTTAATGTATTAATATCCAGAGAGAATTAAATTTATCTATGTAATTTTACATTGTGATTTGGAGCGTGCTATTTTACTTTGTCATCTCAGTATTTTGCTTGAATTGCTTATTTCCTTTAGGATGTGAGTCAGCAAACAAAACGGAGAAACAGAAGAACAAAACAGAGGAAATCAACAAGGATAACACTGGAAGCGCTGAATGCAGCCAATTAAGAACAATGGATCTCAAGTTCAACAACTCCAGGAAATATATTTCTATCTCGGTCCCTTCCAAATCCCAAACAATGTCACCACATATCAAGTCCGTAGATGACATCATGGTACTTGGCATCAATCTCAGCAGATTTAACAAACTTACTCAATTTTTCATATGTGTTGCTGGAGTTTTTGTATTTTACCTAATTTATGGATATTTACAGGTAAAGAAAAAAAGTCACTTTAAGTATGTTATTTATAATTGAAGTCGCTGTGGGACAGATTTTAAGCAGTTTTGCATAAGATACTTGGTTTTATAGGGTCCAGAAGGAGCTCTGGTAGCGTAGCAGTTACGAATCGGGCTGCCAACCTCAGGGTCAGCAATTTGAAACTCCCAACTGTTCCATGGGAGAAAGGTGAGGCTTTCTGTTCCTGATTTACAGCCTCAGAAACCCTGTACAGGGTCGCTATGAGTCGGAACCAACTACGTGGCACACAGCAGCAGCAGCAGTTAAAAAATATCTATAGTATGATAGAATAAGGCACCTTAAAAGTAAGTGTACTGAAAACAGGAAGCAAAATGTCAGAGTTACATATTTTTTTAGGGGTGTATGGGGGAGGGGGGCGGAGGGGCTGAAACTTTATTTAGAAAATAAAATTTTTAATTTGTATAGGTAACGCTGAAACCATGTGTTAGAATTTAAAGAAATTTTAAGAATGGTCTAAGTGTAGATAAGTATTTTTGAACACAGTTTTATAGAAAGGTGATGCCAGCATAAGAGTCATTCGGTTCACACTTGATTCTTGGAGCTCTGTAATTTATGTTTTTTTGCCAAAATACATCAGAATATTTTCTATTTTTCCAAGGTGTGGCTGTCATTCTTGTTGTTAAGTGCTGTCAGTTTGGTTCCCACTCATAGTGACCCTGTATAGGGTTTCCAAGGCTTTAAATCTTTGTGGGAGCAGAAAGCTCCCACAGAGCAGCTGGAACCCCAGACCTTCGGGTTCCCAGTCAAGTGCTTATGGTGTGGAGCCTCTGGCTCCCAGGTGTGTCTTGTCTCATCACACAGTCAGATACGTAAGAACCTCTTAACATAGTTCCTTGCTACCGCGCTCCCAGGTGTTTCCTAAAGTCCCTATTGTGTTCTCTTTCCTGCTAGTTTTCTAGTCTTATCTAACTTTGTAAGGCCTTATTTTTCTGTAATTTTTGCCACTGCAAAACATTTTTTTAAGTGATAAGTTTGTTTCACACTTACATGATATTTTAGGATACTAATATACTTTTGACTAACAGCAAAATCCTGACTTTCAAAGACAGAGCTACATGGGTAAAGATTGACTCTAGTGTAAACAGGAATGCATTAGTGGGAGCTCTAGTAGCAGTAGTGTAGTGGTTACGAATCGGGCTGCTAACCTCAAGGTCGGCAGTTTGAAACTACCAGCTGTTCCTCAGGAGAAAGATGAGGCTTTCTACTCCTGTAAAGACTTACAGCCTCGGAAACCCTGTGCAGGGTTGTGTCGGAACCGACTCCATGGTACTTAACAACAACAACAACAATTTCATTAATGGTCGATTCATTAATGATTGTTTTCATTCTTTAGCAACTGTTAATGAAACTTCTTAACACAAGGGAGCATTTATATGTCAAGAAAAGGAAAGTAATATATTTTACTAAAACATAAATTCCATTTTAGGTATTTTTTAATATTAGTAAGTTAGAATTGTCTTAGGAATTACTTTTTCGTTGCCTTATTTATACTTAAGGTAAGTTTAAATAACAACAAAGGTAGAATTGTGACTTTATTTCTTAGTTTCTTAGTTTACAAGAGTATTGTGTAAAACAAAAGCATGAATTTTTAATCTTTGTAATAACTGATTTTCCCACTAGAAGATGATCTAGAAATTGAGATATTACAATTTCAATTAAAAAATATTTTGTCAAAGTTGAGATTTCTTATTGAGAAACATTTTTCCTTCAAAACCCATTAATACTAAATAACTTGGAATCATCAGTTGTAAGGGAAAAATATTGGAAATTTACTCTATAAATTCTACTATTTTCTCTGTTTGATTAATGATCAAATTTTAATTGCTAATTGGCATATGCAGTTTCTTTTGAAAAGATATAAATGATTAAGAATTATTTTAGTATAAAATTACCACTTGTGAAAGCTGACATGCCTAGTAGCTCTTAAATGCAATAACATTAAAATAGTTCAAACATTTGGGTTTGGTAGTTGGTTCCAATACATAGTGACCATAGGGTTTCCAAGGAGCAGCTGGTGGGTTTGAACTGCCAACCTTGTGATCCACAGCGCCACAACAGGAGTCCCTACTTCCATATAGTTGGATGTATATCTCAATGCCAAAGTGCTAGGACTACAGTAAAACTTGTGAAAGCCAGAACTTGCGTAAGAGGAAACCTATCAGAGAAGGAAAACTATTTTCTACTAATAGAGAGCAGTAGAAAAGTGGCCAGACTGCGCCTTGCCAACTGGAAAGCTTTCAAGGCTGGCTCTCACAGGTCTCACTGTGTTTTCATCCTGAATACGAAGGGGCTTCACAAAAAAGTTCATGGAAAAACTCAGTATTCCGTTTTTTCCACACACTTTTTGAAGCCACCTTGTACTTTGCAGACTTACTTAACGCAACATTTTATAATTTGGAGAAGTAATGGCATCTCAAATGTATAAAATCTACTTCTGGTCTATTTAGAGACTATGTTCATTTTTCTTTGAAAATAAATTTATCTTAAATGTTCATCTTTGAAAATTTTTTTACTTAACAGTTGCAATATATGTAAGACAAGTGGAATTCCAGTTCCAGTTGCCAATGGGTCACCACAGGTGTCAAGATTATTACTGTGCTTCATTGGAGTCCTGGTGTGGCACTATAGGATAAGCACTGGACTGCACCGTCAGTTTGAGCTGCAAGGCTAGTGGTTCAAACCCACCATTCACTTCCCAGAAACCCTCTATAGGGTCACTATGAGTTGGAACCAACTCAATGGCACTTAACAGCAACAACTATAATAGGATTTCCATGGCTGACTTTTTGGTAGTAGATGACCGAGGAACCTCCAACCTTTCATTTAGCCACCAAGCACATTAACCATTTATTTGTACCACCCAGGGTCAAGTTTGATTAACTCAATTAAAATTGAGCCCGATAAGTTTGTTAATATAACTGCTAAAAACTTATTAAGAATTAAACATTAGCAATCAATACACATTTACCTCATAATATAGCATGTTTAGCCAAATTAACTATTCCCTTTACAATAATTCTTACATAAATTGGTGGCATAGAATTATTAAAAACAACTTCATTTATTATCAATTTGAACTTGCTATGTTGTTACTATAGAAAAATAGGCCTCAGATTATAGAGTACCTTTCGTATTGCTTTGGACAACTCATTGAATTTTGGATTTTTTAAAAAAGAAAACTTGAATAATGTTACATCATAGCTATCCTTGTTATTCATAGCTATCTTTATCCCCTTTATTTTTCTGCTTTTCTGGTTTTTTAATACCTGGATGTCAAAGGTCACAGCCTTAAAACCCATCTGAAGCAGCTTTGCTCTGCACATGAGGTTTGCCATTGAATCTGAACTGACTTGTTGGTACCTAACAAAAATGTCAGTTCTACCTTCTGTCATTTATTTCTTTGTTTTATTGAGGCGGGGGTTGTGTGTTTACAGAAATTTATTGTGGGAAAATTGGTCTTCCCTTTGGACTCTTGACAGTATCTAACAGTATCCATGTTATCTTTTGACAGGAATTAATATTTTCAGTGGAGGGTTTTAAGTCCTATGGCTGGTACCTTACACTAGTGCAGTTTGGGTTTTACTCCATATTTGGCCTAATAGAACTTCAGCTTATTAAGGACAAGAGGAGAAGGTATGTAAATTTGTAGTTTTTTGATAGATCTCTAGTAGTAGTTGATTTTTTTTTTTTTTTTTTTTTTTTTTGACGTAGTCTAGTAAGTATATGGAGTCCGGGTGTGGCGCTGTAAAATAAACACTGGACTGTTCACCACAAGGTTAGCTATTCAAACCCACCAGCCACTTGTTGGAAACCCTATACAGAGTCACTGTGAATCCGCACCAACTCAAGGCCATTTAACAACAACAACAACATACATGTGATTTACGCTTCCCATTATTAAGACATATTTAATACAAAAGATTTTTATTTGCAGAATAAATTTATTAAAATATTAACTGTTATATTTTCTTTATGCACTGAAAAACTGACTTCTCTGTTTGTTGTGAAGTGCTGTCAAGTTGGTTCTGACTCATAGTGACCCTATCTGTATAGGGTTTCCAAGACCCACTCATGTGTTTAAACCCTGATCCTTGTGGCTCACAGTTCAGTGCTTATCCTCCAGTGCCACACCAGGACTCCAGTTCTATCTCCTAAGATTAATTTTACCAAAGGATAAAATATATAATTTCAACTCAATTTATAGTAAAATACCTCTTCTTGAAACTTACCAATTGCACTGAACTGTGTAATTATTGAAAGATTTATAATGATACCAACACCAAGGTAGTGAAATTGAAATGAGCTATGAGTATTTGGTTTTTGAATGTATGTGTGAAGTTTTATTTTGTAGGATATATTCCAACTAACATCATCATGGTTGTATGTACAGTAGCTATGCTTCCATTCTTAAATATTAGGGGAGCCAGTTTAATAGCATTTCTTTCATCAAAACCAAAAGAACTTGTTAGTTAATATCTTTTAATTTAACACACTTTGAGATTTAAGTAATATTTTTAATGGAATGTAGACTAATATGCAATAAATAAAAAAAAAAACTAAGAAAACGTAGTCTCTCGGATTATAAATGGAAGGTAGTTGGATAATTAAATATAAAATATTCTTAAGAAACAGAAGTCTGGTTCTCCTGTCATGTCAGATCTTAATATGTAAATATTTCATATATATATTGAGTAATTTAAATGTTATACAGAGCTATAATACTGAGTCTGTCTTCATTAATATAAATGTTTAATCTTTTAATGAAAATAAAATTTTTTCACAGCTACTTTTTAAAATATAAAGTGGCTTTGGTGTGTCTATGAAGATAATTGTACAATTTTTAATGTTAAATCTTTAATACCAGTGAGTGTCTCTTCATGGGTCTACTTTACCTCCCAATCTCTCTTTATTGCCAACCAAATATTATGGCAGTGATGGTAGCAATGTTTGAATCCAAGATTGTCTTACTGATTTGCATGCTGTGAAACACCACAAGATTTGCCACAGGTGATAGAATAGGAAGGAAGGAAATATATCTCCCAGAACTAATATACAAGGAGTCCTGAAGTCTCGTTACCTGCTGCAGACGATGAAACCTCTGAGTCACCCTAAGCTAAAAGTCTGATTTGTCAGCCTGTGGGGGAAATTATAATGGTACCACAGATGATCATCAATTCCACTTTGGGTTTACATAAACCTTAAAAAAAAGAAAAAAAAGAATTCGATGTTAAGAGTGAAAAAAGACTGGGAAGTTATGGTAAGCAGTAGAGCAGACCTTTGAAATGAAAAGTGATACAGAGAAACTACAGCTTCTGTTACATTGCAGAAAGGAATGCCTTCCTATAAGTATCCAAATGAGATGGCAAACCAGTCCAAGCCTTGTTTTTCTCAACGTTTAAACCGTAGGTCATACATATTGAAAAATAAAATCATTTGTGTTGGTTTTAACAGAAGTGAAGACTTAGAATAGATATAATTATGAATTGAAACCTTTTCATTCCAAGGCACATTAAATCTTTTTTTAAAGTCTTTTAAGTATGTTACACGTGGTCTCCATGAGTCAGAATCAATGCGATGATAACTAATAACAAGGACAAGCAATGAAAATAGTCCAATCACATCATCCCATTTCTAAATTGATTCGTTATAGTGACTTGCTCTTTGGATCATTATTTAGCTAAACTGTTTGCTTTTTTTTTGATTCTTTCTTGCATTCATGTCAATATTGGTGTAGGCTGAAAGAATATAGGATTCTGAGTTAGAAAACATGACTTGCGCTTTAGTATTATCTTTCATTGGACTACTGATGTGGTGCTATAGGATAAACAGGGGATTGTGAACCACAAGGTGGGCAGTTCAGACCCCACCAGCTGTTCCTTGGAAACCATATGAAGTGTCGCTATGAGTCAGAACTTAAGAGCAGCACTACCTCATTAGCGCTGCAAGACCCTAAGGGAGTTTCTTTAGTTTACAGCTATTAGTTTTGAGTATCAAAAGTGAAAAAGTACATTTGATAACAGATTGTTTTTAATAAGTGCCATTGAGTCAGATCTGAGTCATAGCAAGGAGCAACTGGTGGATTTGAACCACTGACTTCATGAATAGCAGGCCAGTGCTTGTCCTTCAGTGCCACATCAGGACTCCTTTAAGCACATATAAATTGAAATAACCTCCACTACACTGTTTTGTTTTGTTATTTTTTCCCCAAAAATTACCTTGCAACTTTGTTGTTACTACTTTATGTGAGTTTTTAATAAAAGAGATCTTTCTAGTTGCTTTTTTTTTTTTTTTTGTCACTCGAGTAACTTTACTCCCTACAATACAGCTGTAAGTTACAATCTTAGGCAGGAAGTGTATTCGGGCAACACAACAAAGCTAAAGTTTATTATTATCTAGATAACAGTCAGGCACAGATATTTTCTCCTCATTATAGACTTCTCCCCCAGCCACCTGGTCAGTGTGTTCATTCCCATAATCTTAGCAGACAAGATTTTCCTTGGCGGTCTTTTAGTTTGAGTTTGAGTTTGAGAACTGCCTCAGAATGGGTTTCACACATGTCCTGTTCCTCAGTACACTTAGGGAAAGGAATGGGAAAGGCTGCCAGAAAGACCCAGAACAGCAGCACTACAAATCTCCTTTGAAAACTCTAGGCCACAGGGTAGCCCACACGAGGCATTGTCTAACATTCAACTGGCCAGGCCCACTGGGAAATAAGCTACTGGCTGAAGGAGGCAATCGCATTGCCTGAACTCTGTATACCTTAGTTTTTAATTGTTGCTATCAAGTTGCTTTTGAAGGGGGTTTCAAAAGGCATTTCTAAAGGCAGATAGAAGAAATCGGAACAGTAAATAAAATAGAAATAATGAGAATCCATGAAGCAAAATAATGAAATCTAACTTATTCCTTTCAGCAGGGAGAAAACGAAGACCTAGAATAGTAAGATTTTCATGAACGCATGGCAAGTTGCTTTCAGAATTGAAAGTTTTCAATTTAGGTCTGCTGAGTTTTAGGCTTGTTTTTTTTTAAAAAATCTTTTTTTCTGTAACCAATTGCTGTAGAGTTAACTCTGATACATGGCAACTCATGTGTTAGAGTAGAACTGTGCTCCTTAAGGTTGCCAATGCTACTGTTTGGAGGTAGGTTGCCAGGCATTTCTTCTGAGGTACCTCTGAGTGGACTTGAATCTCCAGTCTTCCAGTTAGCAGCTAAGTGCATTATCCTAATGATCATTACTTGTGATTTTTTATTCACTTTTTATTTACTACCACTGTTTACAATTTGTGTGTGAGGAGATTTAACTACTGACATACCATGACCTAGGAAAATAGTGCAATCCTTAACCTGCAGTACACCACTGAAAGCTACATCCCATAGACAGCTTTCAGTTCATTAATACACACTGATGTATTCAGGCATGCTAAACTGGGATTTTAATTGTAGACTATTATGGTGGTGGTGGTGGTGATGGCCTGCCGTGGAGTTAATTCCAACTCATAGCGACCCTGTACAGGGTTTCTGAGGCGGTAAATCTTTACAGGAGCAGAAAGCCTCATCTTTTTCCCAAGGAACAGCTGGTAGTTTCGAACTGCTGACCCTGAGGTTAGCAGCCCGACTCATAACTGCTATGCTACCAGAGCTCCTTGTATGAGTATTTAAATAGGAATGGCTTCAAAATTGAAATTCAAATGTAAATGATGCATTTCAATTGAATTTTTCCAGTAAGGTATTTTACCTCCTATCTGGTCCTATGAAGGAAATTGATTGTCTTGCTTTAAACATTAACACAAATCCCCAAATGGAGATGAGATCTAAGTGTGCAGCATTCTCAGATGATGTGAAAAGTGATTTGTTGCATTAGACACACCAGTGTTCAGTATTATTGCACACCACTAAATTCCTGCTGACGAAAAGCATATGATCACAGTATTGACTCAAAACCCTTGAGATGCCGAATTCAGACTCCTTTAGGAACTCCGCACAGAGCCCAGGTAAGAGGCTGGGGTTCCTGAGGGTCAGATTCTTCATCATTTACAGTTAATGATGGCATCATATGATTGTGGTAATACCGGTCTGATCTAAACTTCTAAACCACATTTACTCCCTCTGGAAAAAATTGTGCTCAGGTTATTTTACCAAAATGGACAGATGGATTTTTCCTAATGCTAGATGGAAACATTAGGAAACAGCAATCATTTCCAAGTTCAAAATTAGTCAAGGAGACTTTTGTAGTTCTAAAGCCAGTATTTATGAAATTCTTTTTTTTTTTTTCCCTTAAATTTAGTTAAGACAGTTTTTATTTACAGCTAGAACTATTAAAAAGAAAACACTTTTATCAACATTTGTGCCTTCAGGAAGAATCTAAATAACTCTCTCTAATATATCACTTTTCATGTAATGGAGAGTTTTCATTTATGATAGATTTAAAAAAATAAGGTAAATTATTATTCTACCAGCATCCTTTCATACATGTAAATAGTGTTATAACTACCAGTAATGATATTATTACCAATATTTCTAGAAACATTAACTAGAAATTAGAAAAATAATAAGATTTATTTACACATTATAAACACATGATCTTAAAATAATACAAATTGGGTCCCACAATGAAGATTTTAAAATTGTCTTTTACAGAATACCAGGAAAAACCTACATGATAATAGCTTTTCTAACTGTGGGTACTATGGGGTTATCAAACACTTCCTTGGGCTACCTGAATTACCCTACCCAAGTCATCTTCAAGTGCTGCAAATTGATTCCTGTTATGCTAGGAGGAGTTTTTATCCAAGGTATTGTAATGATATGTTTTCATACTGTTTGCAACCAGTAGGATCTGTTTTGGCATCTAGCATTAGGAAAAACATTAAATTTGATTAATAATTTTAGTGACTATGCTAGGCTGGGTATTATTAAAATTTTTAATGATGGCTTACAAAAATAAGGTATTATTTAACACGGACACTTCTGTATGATGCAATATTATCTGAAACCCATGCTTTAAACTCTTTAATAACAATAATATTTTGTTTCTCTTAGTATATTCTTTTAATCTTGGAATCTACCACATTTCTAAAATACAATAAAATAAATAAATAATGCATTCCTATTTTGAAGGTCCACTTGAGAAATGCTAGGAAAGCGCCTCTTTTCAGTTCTTCCTTCTACTCTTGGGGACTACCCTCTCCACCTCCGTTATAGAAAGAAATGGACAGTTCTCATATTGAAATAAAGACTGACCTAAGCAAAATCGGTATTTTACCAACCTTCCAGACTTACTGACTTCTTAGAGCCAGACTATGTGGAAATATGAATAAAAAGAAAGTAAATATGACAGGCTTTGGAACAACACCTCTTGGTTGTTCATACTAACTGTTGATGTGGAATACTCATATGTGGATAATTGTGTCTGTATTACTAAAGTTCTTACAGAGCCTGACTTCCTTTTGTGCATTATGTGTCTTCCGATAGGAAGCCTTTTAAAATGAAAACTGTATGCCAACTGCTTTGCATATAATTTGAGGATAATTGTTCATATAGGAAAAATAGAGCTCATCGCCTATAAAGATCACTTTCAGATCTCTTGACTGAGCAGATCTCGTTATAATCCGTACAAAAAGTAACACAATATGAGTTCATTATTTAAATGTGGATGTACCAAAATACAGCTAAGTGACCTACCAAGACGTCAGCAGATTATAGTTTTTGCAAACAGCTTTATAGCCTGAAGCTTTAGCCTGGTTATTTTATATACTTACAAAAAAGAAGAAATGTCATTGTCATATATGAAAATTTAATTTCCATGAAATTTTTTAATGTTTGTGGATGCCCATTATTCATGATAGCAGTTTTCTATAAAATAGGGTATTTAGTCAATAAAATAACAAATAAACTAGTACTTCATGGGGGACTTCAAAAGTTTACAGAAAAATGTGATTCCAAAGATAATGGAATTTTTCCACAGTTTTTGAAGCCTCTTATATAATACATAAAGACATGACTGTCTCATTACCTTGGTATAAGTGTTCTTCATGTGATTTTGACCTTGATATGCAAAGTAGATCTCTGTTCTACCTGGATGTCAAACTGCTGGGCAGGCCTAATTTAATGGCTTGTTTTATGTAGGAAAACGATACAACGTTGCAGATGTGTCTGCTGCAGTTTGTATGAGCCTAGGCCTAATCTGGTTTACCTTGGCTGACAGCACAATTGCACCAAATTTCAACCTGACAGGTAAGGGATTTTTTTTTTCTTTTCTATTCCTTAGTTGTATAGGCATTTTGGTTTAGAGTAAGAATTTTTTTAAATTTCCAGTAACAACAGCTGCAATGTCAGCAGTTTGAATCTACCAGTTACTCAGAGGGAGAAAGATGAGGCTTTCTGCTCCTATAAAGATATACAACCTTGGAAACCCTGTACAGGGTCACTATGGGTAGGAACCGACTCGAGGCACACAACAGCAGCAGCAGAGTTTTATTTATACGACTATGAAGTGTCATTAATTTCATTTCCTAGCCTGAAAAATATTTACAATCTCTCACTGCAATGTCTGCTGTAACTTAAGTGCTAACCCTTTCCGAGTTCATAAACATATTTTTAAAGAGTGTTAGAAGCTAGCATATACTTCAGTATTTATAATCTATTGGGTTAGGCATCTACCATCTAAAGCAAAAGAGACTAACTACTAAGATGGTTATTTGTTGTTGTTAAGTGCCATCTAATAGGTTCTGACTCATAGCGACCCTGTACAGAGTTTCTAAAGAGCGACTGGTGGGTTTGAACCACCAACCTTGTGGTTAGCAATCTGGTGCTTATCCTAGAGTGAGCACCACGCTGAGATGGTTGTCTGGACAGACAGAGTTGTGTTGGTACTTCTTACTGCAGTCATTAAATGGTACCTAACTGTTCTGAAATGAGTGTGAAAAGACATCAAATAGTGAAGATAAATCAATAAAATTACTGCCGAATTAGATACGGGTGACACAGCTCTTAAAAATTGGGAGATATAAAACTGTGAAAGGATTCTGATGTAGGTTGATTTAGGAGTACCTAAAGTTTGAATAAAGGAGCTCTGGTAGCGTAGTGGTTACGAATCGGGCTGCGAACCTTAAGGTCAGCGGTTCGAAACTACCAGCCGCTCCGCAGGAGAAAGATGAGGCTTTCTACTCCCGTAAAGATTTACACCCTCGGAAACCCTGTACAGGGTCGCTATGGGTCGGACCCGACTCGATGGCACTTAACAACAACAACAACAAAAGTTTGAATAAGTGAGTAAGGAAGACCATAGAAGAATTGATGCCTTTGAGTTACGGTGTTGGAGGAGAATATTGAAAGGACCATGGGCCGCCAAAAGAACCAATGGATCCATTTTGGAAGAAGTGCAGCCAGACTGTTCTTGGAGGCCAAGATGGCCAAACTTTGTCTCTCATACTTTGGACATATTGATAGGAGGGACCATGTTTGGTATGGTGGAGGGTCAGAGAAAAAGAGGAAGACCCCCAGCAGGATGGATTGGCCAAGTGGCAGCATCAGTGGGCTCAAGCATGGCAACAGTAGTGAGGTTGGCCCAGGATCAGGCAGTGTTTCATTCTGCTGTGCATAATGTCACTGTGAGTCACTACTGACTCGATGGCACTGAACAACAACAAGGTTTATGTGTACTTTAACAAAAACAGCTTGGAAGTTATGGGGACTTTGTGTTATGAGATAATGCAGTATCTCAGTCAGAATCTATACCCAGTTCCAACTCATAATGATCGTATGTACAATGGAACGAACCACCTCCTGATCCCGCAGCTTCTCACAGTTATTAGGGTTGAGCCCCATTGCTGCAGCCATTGTGCCAGTCCATCTTGGTGAGATTCTTCCTCTTTTATTCGGACTCTACTAAGCATGAATTCTCTTTCCCCAGAACTAGGCTTTCCTGTATCATGTTCAGAGTACATGAGATGAAGTCTCGCTGTCCTCACTTCCAACGTGACAATATTGGCTTAGCTTATTAGTGGCTGTTAAGTGCCGAGTCAGTTCCAGTTGATAGTGACCTTACAATCTTACAGAAAGTCTTACCATTTGCTCATGGATCAACTGGTGGATTCTGTAGGATGAGTCTAGTACTTTTGCGACAGAGCCATCATGCTCTTCTTATTAGTGTTGGTGGTGGTTGTTGTGCGGTACTGTCGAGTTGGTTCTGACTCATAGTGACCCTGTATAAGGTTTCTGAGGAGCAACTGGTCAGTTTGAACTACTGACCTTGCAATTCAGTGCTTATCCTACAGCACCTCACTATGACTCCTTACCAGCAGTAGTGATGGGGTTGTTTGTTTTATTACCATCACCAATGTGCAGTTAGAACCAACTAGATAAGAATAGTCAACTTTTACTGAGAAAATGTGGGTAAGATTTGCTTTTGTTTTCTTTAAACGTATTTCTGAAAAAAGTTGATTATAGCTCATGTATTTAAATAAGAAGGATTTCTTATCTTTTTCTTTATATCTTGAAGGTGTGATCCTAATTTCCCTGGCACTATGTGCAGATGCCGTTATTGGAAATGTCCAAGAGAAAGCTATGAAACTTCATAATGCTTCTAATTCAGAAATGGTAAATATACTAGTGTTTTCTCTTCACATCTGATAGACTGTAAAATTGTGGTGGACTTAATCTTATAAAATAAATACAGTATTGAAAACTTACATTTCATTTTTAAATGCATTTATTAGCACTGTAGTAATAAAAGTAACATTTAAGCACTACAGGAACATACAAAGTTAATGTATCCCTCCTGCAACCCCCACTGCCGTCGAGTCTATTCCAGCTCATAGTTGGCCCTAGAGGTCAGAGGGTTTCCGAGGCTCTCACCAGATTTACATCCTCGGAAACCCTATGAGTCAGAACCACCTTGAAGGGACACCACCACCACCAGTCTTTTTGGAAGTAAATTGCCACATCTTTCTCCTACAGATAGGCTGGTGAGTTTGAACTGCCAACCTTTTAGTTTACAGCTGAGTGCTTTAACCACTGTACCACAACTTCGAATCACAAGGTCGGCAGTTCAAACTCATCACCCAATCCTGGGAAACCCTGTACAGAGTCACTGTGAGTCAGAACCAGCTCAGTGGCACTTAACAACAACAAAGAGGTGGTTAAATTTGAGAAATCTTATTCTCATTAATTTGTATGATTTTTTTTTCACATGTTATAAAAGTCTTTTATTACATCTTTGCCCATCCCCCACCTTTCATATTTGGTATTTTTTTCTACTTAGAATTTTATAATTTTACATGGTCCAGGTTATCTCTCTTCTTTTAGGGCTTCTAGTTTGTTTATATATATATATATATATATATATATATATATATATAAAGATACATATACACACAAACACATACATACATATAAGAGTCCTGGTGTGGCGCTGTGGGTTAATGCGCTGAACTGCAATGTCAGTTTGAACGGCAAGGTAGGTGGTTCAAGCTCACCAGCTGCTCCTTGAAAACCCTATACAGGGTCGCTATGTGTCAGAACCTACCTGACGGCACTTAATACCTTATACATATATATATATATATATATATATATAAGTAGCTCTGGTAGCATAGTTGTTTTGAGTTGGGCTACTAATTTCACGGTCAGCAGTTCAAAACTGCCAATGGTTCCATGGGAAAAAGGTAAGGCTTTCTGCTCCTATAAAGATCTACTGCATTGGAAACCCTATGCAGGGTCACTGTGAGTCAGAATTGACTCCACAGCACACCACCACTACTACCACCATCACCATATACATAATTATGTGTTGTTGTTGTTAAAGGGTCATTATGACTCAGCAACCCTGTGTAGGTTTTCCAGGGAGCCACTGATGAGCTTGAACCACCGACCTGCAGTGAAAACTGACCTTGCAGTCCAGCACAAGGTCAGTTATATATATGTTGTTAAGTGCCATTGAGTCGATTCCAATTCATAGCAGTACTTGGAATAGGGTTTCCAAGGAGCAGCTAATAGGTTGAACTGCTTCCTGACTCTGTGGTTTATAGTTCAGTGCTGATCCTATAGTACCATGTTATGCATCATGTATACACACACAAATATATTTTAGAAAGCTGAACAGTAAAATCTGCTTTGAATTTAATAGCTAAACCTGGAGAAAAAGCTTTGTAGCTATATGCACATATATGGTCAATTCCGGTATGTCATTTTGTTTGTAAAGTGTAAACTTACAAACAGAATTAACCATCATTTCCAAAAAGTTAGACCATATTGAAGCATAAATGTCACTTCTAAAGTATTTTTGATAGACTTAATAAAATAAATTGATTGTTCCATAAATTAAAGCCCTGAATTTTCCACCTTTGATTTGATGGCACTTTTCCCACTGTATTTTTATCTAGGTTCTGTATTCGTACTCAATAGGTTTTGTGTACATTTTATTGGGATTGACGTGCACTAGTGAAATACGCCCTGCAGTCACATTTTGTTCAAAGGTAAACACTAATCACATTTTCTTTAAGTAAACATCTTCTATTAAGTGGTTTTCTCTGTGTTTCTAATTCCTCATATAAAAGGCTGTTTTTGATGTAATTTGATAATTCCTTTAATAAAATATATGTTGATCAGAAATTACTTTGGACATGAAATGATTTACATTTAAATTTATTTTACCTTTACTGTACCCTTTAAGTTAATTTATAAACTATTCATAATATAAAAGTTGAGGATTTTTAAATTTCATTCTTTTTCCATTAAATCATAAATAAGAATCTTTGCTTGACTGCATTGTTGAATGAGTTTTATTGCTTAAGTTGATTAAAACCTAGTTTTATTTCATTTGTAATACCTCAGGGTTTGTTTTGCATTTTTGTGACTGACAGGTTTTTTTGGTTTTTCTTTTTCAAATTTATTACAGAATCCAATTCGAACCTATGGTTATGCTTTCCTGTTTTCCCTCACTGGGTATTTTGGAATCTCCTTTGTTCTGGCTTTGATTAAAATTTTTGGGGCACTTCTTGCTGTAACAGGTAGGATGATTTACTTGCTAAGGTTTTGAAATAAAATAAGATTTTCTCAGAAGTTCTTTTCTAAAACATACTCTTTATCAAAAATTACCATATTCTACCAATTTATTTTTCAGCTAATAGTATTTCTTTAAAACTCTAAGGAAAATGATGCCTGATCTTACCTTCCTATTTTAAAAATTAATTTTAAAATTTAATATATACTGTTATCTCTGTTGTTGTTGTTAAGTGCTGTCAAGTCAATTCTGACTCATAGTGATCTTGTATAGATTTCCAAGGAGCAGCTGTTGGGTTTGAACTGCTGACCTTGTGGTTAGCAATCCAGTGTTTGTAAGTAACTTTCAGATACAGTAAAAGAATTTGGGATTAAGATGTTTGGTGGATAGACACCTGTAGAGAAAAATGCAGCCTCTGTATAATTTTACTATATAATTTAGCAATCTTGTTTTGGTACATATAATGTAGCCTATTTTAAACAAAGCTTGTAGACCTGTCAGTTGTATGTGTCTATGACAACAATGACATTAGCTTCTCACTCCACTAACAATTCTCATGTACTTGCTCTGAAGGGACATTTTTTTTTCAGGCACTCCGTTGTTGCTAAGTGATAAAAATGTTCTATGTTCTGCTTTAGAGGTATGTACAGACTGGTTGTTAGTAAGTGCCATCGAGTTGTTTCCGATTCATAGCAACGCTTTATCGGGTTTCCAAGGAGCCAACCTTGTGGCTAACATCCCAGTGCTTATTCTACAGATGTTAGGATACCAGGATTCCTTGTCAATTTTTACAGGAGCAGAAAGCCTCACCTTTCTCCTGCCAAGCGGCTAGTAGGTTTAAATTGTTGACATTGCAGTTAGCACTCCGGTGCTTACCCTATGACGCTACCAGGGCTCCTTAATACTTACATAGCACTTGTTCTGTTCCAGATACCAGTCTAGATAGTTCACATTTATTAGTCATTTTAATCTAACAGGTCTAAAGAGTGGGTGCTAATGTCCCATTTTACAGTTGAATAAATTGGTAGGGGCCCTGTGGATTACAAGATGGGCTACTAACCTCAAAATCACCAGTTCGAATTTTCCAGCCATTCCTTAGAAGAAAATTGAGGCTTTCTCCTTCCATAAAAATTTACGGAGTCTTCGTATGGCGCTGTAGGATCAGCACTGGACTGCTAACCACTAGGCTGGCAGTTCAGACCCACCAGACACTCCTTATACAGGGTCACTATGAGTTAGAATTGACTCAACGGCATATAACAACAACAACAACAAAGATTTATAACCTCGAAAACCCTATACAGTGACACTGTGAGTTACAACCGACTCAATGGCCACAACCCAAGACTGAGGTACAAAGAGGCTAAGTGACTTGCTCAGTAGTCAGCTGATTATTAAGGTGCAGAGCCAAGATTCAAACCGAGGCAGTCAGGCTGCAGACCTGTGCCCTAAACTTGTGTCCTTACTGTACCCTTTACGTTTATTTTTGAACTACTCATAAATTGTAAAAGTTGAGGATTTTTAAATGTCATTGTTTTTCCAATAAGTCTTAAATAAGAATCTTTGCTGTGGTGACTGTGGTCTTCAGAAATTCTGGCTCTTTCTCTTTGCTCTCCCACAGTCACCGTATTGCCCATGAGCCTCGATGTTAGAACTCTAGAAAGTATGTACTCCTCCTAGGATGGAGTGAGAGAAGATGGCAAACAGACCTTCCTTGCATGGAGACCAAAACAAACCAAACTCACTGCACTGAGTCGATGCCAACTCATAGCAACTCTGAATAGTGTTTCTAAGACTTTACAGGAGCAGCCAGCCTTGTCTTTCTCCCTCAGAACAGCTGGTGGGTTTGACAGTTAGCAGCGTAGTGCCTAGGGTTACTTCCTAGAAATCATACTAAAACTTCTGCTCACATTTCAATGGCCAAAATCTTGTCATACACCATGCTGAGCATGTGGAGGCTGGAAGTACGTCAGCTTAAAATACAAGCCCTTTCACTAAAAACAAGAGGAAAAGTAGATACTGGTAATCAATTCTGGCCAATTCCAAAACTGTTTCATTTGTTGGTCATGCACTGAATACTGTTGTTCCTTGTCCTCCAAGTCATCCCCCATGTGTACAGAGCATGTCTGTGCTCCATGGGATTTCAAAGCTGTGACCCTTCACAGGTTGTTGTCAGGCATGTCTTGCAAAGTGCCTCTGGGTGGGTTTGAACGACTAACCTTTTGCCTAGTAGTTAAGTGCTGAGCCATTTGCACCACTCAAGGTCTGTGTGTACTGAGCCAGAAAGTACAGAGTCAAGAGCTATAAGGATAAACAAGACAAGGCACATCAATGACAGTGGTGGGAAGATAGCACATTGTAAGGGAGGTGAAGAGGGGGCTTATGATGGAGATACAAGCAGAGTGGCTTTGTCTTCCTGGGGCCAGGAAGGAAGTTTCAGACCTTCAGAAAGACTTGGTGGTGATACTTAAAAGATGTTGTTGTTACTGTTAAGTGCTATTGAGTTGATTCTCACCCATAGCAACCTTGTATAGGGTTTCTGAGAAGCAACTGGTGAGAACTGCCAACGTTGTGATTCAAACCAACTTTGCAGTTCATCGCATTAACCTACAGTACCACACCAGGACTCCTTTTTTAGGGGAATCTTAAAAGATAGATCTTAAAAGATAGGTCAGGGTTAATATAGATACTTGAAGAGAGCTGTAAATATTATTCAGTCTAAGGTTCCAACTCATAGCAACCCTAAATAGAGTTTCCAAGGAGCAGCTGGTAGATTTGAACTACCACCCTTGTGGTTAGCAGTCCAGGGCTTATCCTACAGCACCACACCAGTACATACACCAGAATAGCCCTTGCTCCCCCTAATCATTTCTTCCTTAGGAAAGCCCTTCCTTTGCTGTCTTCCATGTACTAAGTCTTTTTAGGTATAGCACCCTTCATCCCATGGTGCCTTCCATCAACCAGCTTTTGACAGTTGTATTTTAACACTTAACTCAGGTAGCAGTTGTGTCTCTTCTCCTTACTAGACTGTACATGCCATTGTTGCTGGTAAGTACCGACGAGTCAGTTCTGACTCATAACGACATTGTTTAGGGCTTCTGAGAAACAGCTAGTGGGTTTGAACCACCAGCCTTTCAGTTAGCAGTCCAGTGCTTATCCTACATTGCCACACCAGGACTCCACACATGCCATGGTATCAAGCATAATGACTTTTTCTTTGCTTTCCACTGTTAGCACCTCACTTAGATCCTGGCACATAGTTGAATTGTGTGGGTTCCAAAATATTGCTAACATTATAGGCACATTCTAAGCCAACCTTTTTTTCCCTTACAGTGACAACAGGAAGAAAAGCGATGACCATTGTGCTTTCCTTTCTATTCTTTGCTAAACCATTCTCATTTCAGTAAGTACTTTTTATTCAATGCATTTCTCAGTTTGTGATTCTGTGTCTTAACATTTCCTCTTACTTCAACTTTTTTGCTTTTCTATTTTTTGTAGTAAATGCATTAACTTTTTACAAATTAATGGGTGTTTTTTTGTTTTGTTTTTTTCATCTTTTCCTATCATGCTGTGCCTTCTGCTATTAGGGAAAGTATATAGTTTACTATTTTCAGTTTATCATTACACTTGAGTTGCCTAACCAGAGTTTATCATAGTATGGTGGCTTGTGTCTTGCTGTAATTCTGGAAGGCATTCTGAAGGTATTTTAAATACAATAGGGTCGCCTATGGTGGACAGGTTTCTGCTCAGCTTCTAGACAAAGACAGATTAGGAAGAAGGTGGGAACTATTTCCAAATATTTATTCACTGAAAACCTTATGAATAGTAGAGAAACACTATCAGCACCAGATTATGGAATATTGAAGCATGATGAAAACTACCAGAATATTGTCAGATACAGTGCCAGAAGATGTGCCCCTCAGGTTGGAAGGTACTCAAAATGCGACTGGGGAAGAGCTCAAAATAGAGTTGACCATGATGAGGCTAACAAAGTAAAGCCCTTGAGACCTTCATTTGCTGATAGGACGCAACTCAAAATGAAGAAAAGATCTGTAAACATCTATTAATAATCAGAGCATGGAATGTACGAAGTATGAATCTAGGAAAGCTGGAAATTGTCGAAAACATGAAATGGAACTCATAAGCATCAGTATCATAGGCATTAGTGGGCTGAAATAGACTGGTATTGACCTTTTAGAATCTGACAATCACATGATTTACTATGTTGGAAATGAAAAATTAAAGAGGAATGGCATCACGTTTATCATCATAAAGAACATATCAAGAGCAGTCATGCAGTACAACCCTGTCTGTGATAGGATAATACCCATACACCTACAAGGAAGACCAGTTAATAACACTATAATTCAAATTTTCAAATTTACACTCCAACCACTAAAGCTAGTGATGATGAAATGGAAGAATTCTAACAACTTTGTCAGTCTGAAATTGATCATATATGTAGTCAAGATGTGTTGATAATTACTGGCAATTGGAATGCATAGGTTGGAAACAAAGAGGAAGGATCAGTAGTTGGAAAATATGGCGTTGGTGTTAGAAACGATGCTGGAGATCGCATGATAAGACTTTTGCAGGACCAATGACTTCTTCATTGTAAATACCGTTTTTAAACAACAGAAAAGACGGCTATACACATTGACTGGAATACACAGAAATCAGTTGACTACATCTATGGAAAGAGACGGAAAAGCTCAGTATCATCAGCCAAAACAAGACTGGGGCAGACTGTGTAACAGACCCTCAAATGCTCATATGCAATTTAGGCTGAAGCTGAAGAAAATTAAAACAAGGCCCATAAAAGCCAAAATATGACCTTGAATACATCCACTTAAACTTAGATATTATCTGAAGAACAGATTCAATGCATTAGACACTAAAGATCTAAAATCAGAAGAGTTATGGGATGATAATATCAAGAACATCATACAGAAAGAAAGCAAAAGGTCATTAAGACAAGAAAGAAGGAAAAGACCAAATTGAATGTCAGAAGAGACTCTGGCACATTAACCCACAGCGCCACACCCTTATAAGGCCATAGAAATTATTCGCTCTGGTCCTGCCAAGGCAACCACAGTTCCAGACATCACATTGCTGTTGTTGTTAAGAGCCACTGAGTCAATTCCATGGGTGACCCCATTGGTATTTCCACAAAGGATTTGAGTTTAAAAAAATAAAACAAATTAAGCTATTAAATAAGTTGTGCTTGATGATTAATTTCTTGTTTGGCTTTTTGTGAAACTGCTGTTATCTTTGCTGGTTAGCCTTTGTTTGAAATTTTAATTTATGTTGGTCAATAACTGAGAAGATTCAAACTTAGACATTACAAGTGTATCAGTTTAAAGATAACCACAGTATAAATTTCCATCAGGGCATTACAGATAATTGTTTGTTTTCTATAAATTAGTTTTTCTTTCTGCATGTGCTAGGTGTATGTTACAGTAATCTCCAAGGATTCCTTTATTTTCTTCAGGGTGGTCTCTTTCTGTCCCTTTATTTTCTGACCCCCAGCAGATATACATACCCAGTGATTGAAGTATACGCCTTAGACTTTAGGCAGTGGTTTGACTTGTAATATATTATTGTCTACATAATTCAAATGAATTATCTTTAGTATTTGGAGAGAGATGTTTTTTTCTGTACATATATAACATACCAGCCATGAAATCCAGTCTAATCTGACCTAACTGTATTATTTTCATTTTAATGCTATTATTGTAGACCTCCAATAGGAAAATTTTATTTTGTTGCAGAATTGTTGTGAACTTATAGCCAAATTATGCAGTTAGCAATAAATTGTTAATATTAATATTTCCCCCTTCTTTCTTTCAGATATGTATGGTCTGGTTTGTTAGTTGTCCTTGGTATATTTCTCAATGTCTACAGCAAAAATATGGACAAAATAAGACTACCATCACTACAAGGTCTGATGAACATATCAGCGGATGAGAGAAAGTCAAGGACGTTGATACAACCTGTATAGGCAGTGTCTTGTTCAAACTAGAATCTTATGGGAACAGTGGAATTAATGAACTTAACAAAGGGATTGTTATAAAGACCAAAGGATCTGAAGGCCTGCTGTCTGGATGGTTACAGTTGTGTGTCACCTTGGCTAAGCCATAGTTCTCAGTGGTTTCGCTGATCTTATGTAACTATCTTCCATTTTGTGATATGATGTGAGCAGCCATTCAGTTGAGCAGGGAATTTCCTTGGGGCTGTGACCTGTATCCAATCTAGATGAACATGCTGGAAAAGCTCATTCTCTCTTGATCCTGCATCCAACTTGCTGTCCTTTCACCTCTAGCTCTTTGGATATGAGTCAGTAGCCTGTCAGCTGACCTGCAGATTTTTGGATTCTTCATCTTCCAAATACCTGTGAGCCAGCAGTCTGTTGTCTGACTTGCCAATTTGGGGTTTGTCAGCCCCTGGAGCCATGTAAATCAGGAGAAACCTCCAGTCTGAGACCTGACCCAAGGATTTGGGTCGTGACAGCCTACAGAGTTGTGTGAACCATTCCTTTGAGATGAAGCTGTCTACATATATATATACAGGCCAGCCTGTGATAATACCTACTTGTGGGTGGATTACACACAATGAGGTGGGTGTGTGGTTCAGCCTGTCCTTCCGAACGCTGGGACTGCCTGACTTCTGAGGGAAGCGAGAGCCATTATCTAGTGCACAACTTAAGAGGAAAATGTCAATATGAAGGACTAATATTCTTCACAGTCTTCATGAGCACTTCCACTGGAAATGGAACATGCTGTGAGACTACTTGGATACCATTTCTGACCTCCCTAAGAAACTTACATATAATAGCAGATTGTTTTGTCTTCATTCCATTTTGGTGGTATTTTTAAAATTGATTCTCTGTTATAAGAGTGAAATGATGATTTAAAGCTGGAAAGAATCGCACTCATTATAAATAAAAGTTCATTTGTGATTTTTGAAAACAATGTGTTGGTTGATACAATTTTGTTATAGAGGGAAGCAAAAACTATAGTAAGAATTTATAAAATTTTCAAACTTAGCTTTCCTCTCATAATATAAAGGTACTCTAGAGAAAACATGCTAAAAGTTTTATGTTGTTAAGTGCCATTGAATCTGTTCCGACTTTTAGCAACCCTGTATGTATAGGGTTTCCAAGGAGTCACTGATGGGTTTGAATCTCCAGTCTTTCTGTTAGCAGTCCAATGCGTATCCTACAGTACTACACCAAGACTCCAAAGTTTTATGTGTTGCTGTTAAGTGCCGTCAAGTTGGTTCCAACTCATAGTCATCCTGCTTAGGGATTCCGAGGAGCAGCTGGTAGGTTTGAACCTCCGAAACACTGACTCTGTGGTTCACAATTCAGTGCTGATCCTATAATGCCACACTAGGAGTCCAGTTTTATGTAGGATATAGGATATGAGCAAAACTAAAAACATTCATCGTCCTGCGTTACATAGGAGATGTTCACATAAAGAACATGACCAACGAGTTAATTGTTGCTTTGTTGTTAGGTGCTGTAACGACTCATAGCAACTTTATGCACAGCAGAACGAAACACTGCCCGATCCTGCGTTGATGCTGTGAACTTTTTTCAATCAAATGGAAAGTAGTTGATGTCTGAAAATTATTATAAAGTTATAATGGAATTACCATAGTTTTTGTTTCTCTTAAAGATGAAATTTAATTTGATTGCTTAAAAATGAAGTTGAATAAATTTAAAACTCAAGTAGGTTTGGTTTTTACTAAGTTTGGACAATATGTTGCTTGCCCAGCTCTGAGTCTAATAAAACTACAGATTTGGCCCTAGTTTTTAGAAGTAATTAAAAAAAAAAAAATCTCATGAATTTTTATTTCCAATGTAAGTAATATGGGTTAAACCTACTTAGAAATCTCATGCCTAGCATGCCACTGTGTTTGGATCATGGCATGAACCTGTATACATGGTTTTGTTGGTGCAACTGAGATAAAACAGTGTAAGGTACAATGATGCCTGACCTGTCTTCATTTGTCCCATATATTAAAAATACTGGGTTTTGTTTTGTTTTTTCCCCAATGGTAGTTATTTTCAGATTTCCTTATCTTAAAAATTGGAAGAGATCTTAACTTTTACATAATTTTACTGCCTTAACCTCTAAGTCAGGGTTGTTGTTGTTAGGTGCCATCGAGTC